GTAGTTCAATTACTCATTACCCTGTTCCGTCACGTTGTGAGCGTCTTATATCTACCAGTCTACCCCAATCTAGTAGTCTCCCGATAATTCATGAAGGTTCGAGAATGACATGGCGTGATACTAATCACGTGACCTCGCTGACGCAACAATATTGTAATTTAACTTTCTTTTACCTTACAGGGAAAGAGAAGGCGCGCTTACACTGGACTGATGACACAGAGCTAAGTTTTTCTTCATCTCTCTTTCTCCCGTCAGTCTAACACACTTATTGCATGCATACTTTACCCGTGTTTTGTTTTAGTGTATATGTTTATCTCTGTCTATTTCTTTTATTTTTATTATTTTTTTTGTAGTACAGATTCTAGTTGCTAATTTTTGTTGTTGTTTTGACTGTTTCTTTAAGTAGAACTCGATCGGAGTTCACAAAGTAACGGAACCATACTCTATTGATATCCACTAGACCTCCATTTGGCTCTGTGGTAAATGCGTGTACTGGGGTATACTGGAATAAGCGAATTCTGTTGAAAACTTATGCTCATTCCGGAAGGGGTGACGTGAATAGAAAGTTATAATATAAATGAACTCATTTTATAAGATATTTAACAAATGTTTATAATACTTACATTACATATACTGCTTGTATTGGTTTTATTCTAAAGTTAATGCACGTTAAAAAAAATATTAAAACACAACTGACAAGTTTAGTGGAGAAAAGCTAATTAAAAGTTATTAATCTGAACTTCATGTTTATTTGCATAAACAAATGATTTGATATTCAATATTTTCTTTACTATTTACCTTTCCTGTTTTGGAAAGATGACACTAGAAATAGAATTAAGGTGGGAAAAGCCTGTTTTTATTATCAATGAAAGCAGCTGTTGGTGACGTTGAAATTTGTAGCCACAGATGTCACGGTTTTCTGTTTTACTTTCAGTTCAATGCAGTCGGTGTTTTTCGTTAATATTTTCACTTGTAGTTGTATGAGAGCTTAAATTACGTACTATCAGTTAGTATTACTGTCTCATGAAGATAAACTCGTCTGTATTATTACTGTTATGATAGTAATACTACTACTAGTAATATTGATAAAACTTAAAATTGTGTCGTCGGTACTTTTCTAAATGTTATAATTTCATGCTTGTTGCAATATATCGAAAGCAAGTCTTACTATAGTACATTGTACAGTCTTTAGTATAGATTTGTTTCATTGCATATTAAGTATTGCTAGTAATATTAGCTTCTTAATTCCCTAAATAACTTAATAAGTAAGGTTGAAATTGTGTACAGCTCTAGTTTTGTGCATGTAACTTGTAAGAATTAATTAAAAATAAAGTGTATAGTTTAAGTAAAATTTTCTCCACTGTAGTAAACTGTGAAGTAGGAGACTTAGTAAAACCTAATCTGAAAGATAAATTATCGCAAGTTTGCATATTGAGTTTTGAATTTTAATATTTGTTATCATGATTAGTCTGTCTTTGCTTACTGCTGCTAGTGTTAGTTTTAGTTCTGTAAAAACTAAAGACAGAACTTCAAGCTTACAAAAATTAAGCTTTCTGAAACAGTGCAGTTCTACAAAATGCTCTGGTGTATGTGTTAAGACCAGAACGTTTAGGCCTGTTAATTATAAGGTTTCTTGTATCCTGGATGAAAGGCTGCTTATTTATTGGCTAGGAATTAAAAATTTGTTTTCTTTTCTTTGGAACTGGGTTTTAACTACTATATGGACATTATTGTTGCAGCCGAGTTTCCTCCTACACAATTGTTGTCAGCTTAGTTTCAAGAAAGCTATGTTACAGATTATGTTGATCATGAATGTTTTAAATGTAACATCTGCAGCAGATGTTAAGATTTCTTCATTAGAAGATGTGTCAAGACTTGCTAGTTTCCTGTTCTCAAAAAACTACCATGTCATTGAAGAGACAGTGAGTAGTGATGTAATTCAAGACTTACCCACGTCTGGTCAAGTTAAACTTCAGAAACAATTTCAAGCACTGGTGAAAAATTTGGAAAGTAACAGAATTGATATGAAAAATGTGAATTGTTCGGCATTTCCAGATTTGTTGTTGCCAAATAAAGAAAACTTCTGTCAACAGGATAATAACATGCAGGTAAGTATGGAATGTAGTTATGAGTTTGTAGTGTTAACTTATGTATAAAGCTAGAAAAAAAAACTATAGCCAAGGATTTGTGTTATTTTTAATGTGTCTTGAATGTATGTGCATTAACATAATTATAATCTACAGCAACAACTTCCGTAGTTGGTGTAAGGAAGTGCCCATTTAATGACGTTTATGAATATATTTTGATTTCATGTAACTGTTTTGTATTCTGTATTGGTGTGTTTAGCATGGAGTAATTGTTATGTCGGAAATTTAAATCTGTGTAATAAACTACTCGGGACTCAACATTAACACTAGCCTTATAGACTGGTAGAACTAAGAAATATATTCAAACTAGTTACCTATGAGACAGTTCAGTCTGATGGGTTTAATTATGCTTTAATATTGAGTAGTTGTTTGACTTGTGTTTTCATATACCCAAACATTTTATATACTTTTATTTTCACAGCAACAAGGAGGTATTAATTGCTCAAACTCAGCATGTTCAAATTATTTATTTTTGAAAGCTGAAAAGGAAGTAACTTAATAACCAGTCACAAAATTCTGTCCTCATTTTTTTTTTCTTTGTGAATTGACATCTGTGAGATCATCAGTTTCATGTTCTAAAGACTATAATTGCAGTCATATATCAATCCAAGTGTCTTTGGATATAAGCCACTCAAGCTATTAAAGCAGTGCTCTGTTGATAGTATTAGGGCCAATGGATTTTTAGTGTGTTTATATACATAATGATTATGAGGCAAAAGTGGTAATTATATTTCATACAGATCACTAGTTAGGTCTCAATTGGAATACTGTGTAGAGTTTTGGTCACCTTATCTGAAAAAGGATATTTAATTTTTTGAAAGGGTTTAGAGAAGGGTTACATGAATGATTCCAGAGGTTATTGTATAGGGTATATTAAGATTTTGTATCTTATTTTATCATGAGAAAAGAAGACTAAGAGGTGATTGATCTTATTGGAATTTACAAAATTAACTAGGAGAGCCACAGAATAAAAACTTTTTATATTTCTCTGTGCTATTGGATTTGAAGAAAATAACATAATAGTAGTAGTACATTATTTGGATCAGTCATTGGTTAACAAAATAAATATTTTGTGTTGTAACATTAGTACCAAGCTCAGAATTGTGTGTTCATATTGCTATATCTTTCTACTAGAATCTTGGCAAGTACACTTCTATTAAACATATTAATATTACATACAGTTTAGCTGTTAATGTATAAACAGGATAATGTTACACACAATTTATCTTTTTATGTATACTTACAAGGCCCAACATGGTCAGGTGGTTAGGGCACTCGACTCACAATCTGTTGGTTATGGGTTTGAATCTCCGTCCCACCAAACATGCTCACCCTTTCAGCCATGGGGTTGTTATTATGTGATGGCCAATCCCACTATTCATTGGTAAAAGAGTAGCCTAAGAGTTAGCGGTGGGTGGTGATGACTAGCTGCCTTCCCTCTAGTCTTCCATGCTATATTAGGGACGGCTAGTGCAGATAGCCCTTGTGTAGCTTTGCGTGAAATTCATAAGAAACCAAACCAAGCCACATACAATTTATCGTTCTGTACAGTATAATAAAGAATACAATGTCCAATTTAGGCTTTGTAAATAAAAAAATCTATAGCTCTAGTTACATTGAAAATAATTTAGATAGGTGATAGTGTTTAAAATATTTTCGAAAAATCTATAATCCATTTTGTGAATAGTTGGTTGTGCTTATTATTTTGTTATTAGTTGTTTTTCAGAACTTGTTGCATTATTTAAAAAAAAAAGAGTAGATTTTAAATGTACTATTTAATGTATAGCTCTTGTAATATATGTTTATTAAAAATTTATCTCTTGTGTTTTGTTATTAAATACTTTGGGATTTACTTGACTCTTCCTTTATTTTGATGCTGGACCTTATCTCGAAGAACAACACTGTGAAGATTAAAATTTCTCAATATTCCCCAATGTTTAATTTTGGATTTTTATGATAAATACTGTACTTTCACAAATGTTTATTAAAGTTTATGTGAATTTGTGTATAAAGCTCAATGCACTATGTTAATGTTTAAACAGAGAAGAAGTGATCTTATTGAAGTTTACATGATTAAGTTGGGAATTGATAAGATAAAGGCCTGTGGAATTATTTGTGCTCTAAAGATAATAGGACAAGAGAACACAAGTGTATAATTTGGGCTCTGTAAGACAGTTTTGTTTTCCAACAGAGTGATTGACTTATGGAATGAGTTCCTATCTGCAGTAGTGGAGACCAGAATGATAAAAAGAGAATCTATGATTTCCTGCAAAATAAAGAGTGGGTGTGCAAGGACAACACTGAAGGATCAAATAGTCCTTTGTAGTCCATAAGTTTTGCTTATTTTGGTAGAATGTGCATGTGGACAGAGGCTACAAAAGGCTACACAGTATTTTTGAATGTATTATTTCATCCAGGAGTCCATAAAATTTTAAGAATATTTCATTTAATAACCACAGAAGTGACAGTAATATTATTAAATTCTAGCTTTAATAACTAAATAGTGAATCTTGATTGGTAAAGATTCTGTCACTTGAGAAGGATCAGCACTTCGATCTTTCCGATATTTTGAACATGTTGCATAAGCTGCACGGAAGGTCTAAAATGTTGAAAACATTCTATTTTAGGTAACCTTTACACGTTTAAAAGTTTTAAGGTTTTTGGCCTTTCTAGGTTTATTTCAGGTTTAAAAACATGGAAGATCAGGTCATCATTTTTATTATAAGGTCAAGTAACTATAATAATGTGTATACTTTCTAAATTTAGCCATTTAGTGTATTAAATCAAATATTGCCCATAACTTTATATTATTTTCTAAACAAAGTACTAACATGAACACGTACCATTGGTCTTCTTATGTTTATAGCAAATTATTGCAACAGCTAGTTTTATTTCTGTAATAAACATAGTACTGTTACATAGTTTGCCCCTGAAGAAGAAAGGACCACCTTTTCGAAAGCACTCAGGTTATAGGGTTTTTATTAATATCTATCAAGACTTATTGAACCTACATATTTTTCTAACATCATGACTGTTACTTACTTTAAATTTTTGTCTGTTAAAAAAAATTTAACACAATAATTTAAGCATTTTAAAATAGAATACCATTTAGTAAGCATTGTTGCAATCAGTATATAATTTTTATAAAATCTGTAAGCAGAGTTCTGTGATAATATTTATTGTCACTATCAGTTAATGTTTTTGTATTTTTGTTATCAAGAAATGCAACCTTATCTAAATTTGTATTAAACTTCATCTGATATTTCAGCTGTAGCCCTAAGCTAATCCGTTCATCATTTTATTGACATTGCATCTAGAGTACATTGAGAAACTTCCATTGTTTTTAACCTTTTTACATTTATCTTCCTACACTTTCAACATTACTGTAGTGCTGTGTTTTTCTTTTGTTTCTTGTATTCTGAAAAGAGATGAGTCCTTTTCAAAGGTTTCCAGGCCTTCTGTAGTTCATGCTGTTGTTCAACTCTCAGGGTGTTAAATTACTAGCACTCTTCTAATGTATTGGAGCACACATTCTTTTATTTGGCTTTTCAACCTTTTGACCTTTAACTTATTTCATTTACTTTTGTCTTAGGACCTGTTTGCTATTAATTCTTCAGCAATTGTCTTGTTTGAACCATTTTTTCTACACATGTTTATATTTAGAACAGCGAGGGCCAACTTTATGCTCATGTGCCAGTTTCTTACCTAGACTGCAGTCTGGGGGGCTGAAATTATATGACCAGGTGAAGTATGCTCAGATAATTTTTTAATTAAAATGTTGATTCCTACTGTCTATGTTAACACCCTCAGTTAATTATATGGTTTTGAATATATAGCCGAGTTAACATTTGAAGAAAGTTCTCAGAACCATCATGGGACTGGTTTACTTATTCACAGTTTTGTTTTTTGTTTTCATTTTGCCAATTTGGCCAAAATAAAATATGGTTAAATACAAAACAAAAAAACAAGCTGGATTAAATATCTTCTTAAGGCAGATCTAACCTGTGGGCTACCAGTTGGCCATCTATGATGTAGAATGACGTGTGATTTAATTCACGTGTTTAGTTAATTTTTCTTCCATCTTGTAATCTTTTCGAAATTGTCTTTTCCCAATTGGCTCAGTGGTAAGCTTAAAGGCTTATAATAATAATAATGATGATGATACTATGTTCATTACCTTTATTGGACATGTTGCAGATAGCCTATTGCATATTTTGTGCTTATAACATACAAATAAGCCATTTGACCAAATTGTTCTTTGATATTTAATCATATGTGTAGAGTTATTCAGTGGTTGATAGCAGTTTCTCCTACTCTAAAATTTATTCAGTTTGAATCCTATCACATTTATAAATTAATTTAAACAGTTTATTTTACCCTGCTGTTGGTGTTAGTTTGAATTGTAAGTTTTGTATCTCACCACATGAGCTTCAGTATCTTGTGTTCTCCCATAGTACCTGTAGCATGCTATTATCAGGGGTAGAAATTAACTTTCTTAGGCCATTTGTTCTATCAGACAAGTAGAAAGTAATTTTTAATTGCCTAAATAATAATATATTTATCTCACTATAAAATATATGTAAATGCAAAATATGACTTTTTTCACATGCCTATATAATTCTTGTTGTAATTGTATACACTATTTAGTGACAAGTGATGGTTGCATTAGTTGTCTGGTGGCCATTTGTACACATGCTACTGCTGTCTTTAGCAGATTAAATCACTGATAACTCATGATGACACATACATTGAAACAATATCAAAACAGTACATGTGCTTGAGATATAAACTTACTGATAATACATCACAGGCTTATCCATCTTAAATGACATCTAAACTCCAAAAAGTACAATCACACAGTCAAGTTACTGCTATCCTTTTTAGTTTCTCTAAAGTAAACAATGATAAATGCAATAAACTTAGATAGCCTGATTCTTGAATTGACTTTGTTTTAAATTAAAATATAGTATGTACATATGTAAAATATGTGTGGGGGGGGGGGGAAGGCAAAAGTTACTATATTATCTTATATGCTTCTGATAAAATGTTAGCACACAGTATCATATACAAAAGATGCAACGAATTAAAAAAAAAAAAGACCCAAAACTCTATTGCTTTTGAATATTCTTCTTTATTCTCCTGAAGAAAAATAGTGTACTGTTTGAAAATGCCTGAGTTTTGGATTAAAAATAGTGTAGTAGTTGAACATGCTTGAGTTTTGGATCAAAAATAGTGTACTGTTTGAAAGTACTTGAGTTTTGAGTCAAAAATAGTTGTTTAAAAGTGCTTTAATATTTGGTCAAAAATATTGTACTGTTTGAAAGTGCTTGAGTTTTGGTTCAAAAATAGTGTACTGTTTGAAAGTGCCTGAGTTTTGGATTAAAAATAGTGTACTAGTTGAACGTGCTTGAGTTTTGTATCAAAAATAGTGTACTGGTTGAAAGTACTTGAGTTTTGGTTCAAAAATAGTGTACTGTTTGAAAGTGCTTTAATTTTTAGTCAAAAATAGTATACTGTTTGAAAGTGCTTGAGTTTTGGGTCACAAATAGTGTATTGTTTGAAAGTGCTTGTTTTTTGGGTCTTGTTTTTTTGGAATTCATGTTATATGGTTGGTATAATTGGTATTATTAAGTTGGTACTAAAAAAGTATTACAAAAATTTAATTATTTAATTATTGTTTGTTTGTTTCAGAATAAAGCTTTAAAAGTGAAACAAACGTGTTGTCACTTTTGTCCCACCCTGTATGTATGTAATATGTCAAATGCAGAAACCTGCAACTCTTCTTATATAAATGCTTATAAAAATGCATGTTTCATTAACTATCCAGAGTTTTGTAGAACCAGAGACCAGGCTCATTATTGTGTAAGCTACCTTCATTAGTAGACTTTGAACATTAGCATCTGGTGACAGCATCTTCTCATTTCCAGAGGTTACTTGCAAGGACACAAGTAGAAGAAATTTCAAGAAAAGATTTATGCTATATAACTATGTACATTCAACTTAAACAATACACAAAAATCTAGCCATCATGGATTTCTCACAATACAATGCTAAAAGGGAAAACATGCAGGGTGCTTCAAATTATAAAATGTTAGGATTTATATATTACTAAAAAAAAAGAAATGTTAAACTACATAGATTAAAGATACTACAGATTTTGGCATTAGTCTATGTGATAACATATTTTTTGAAATTTGATTGAATTAAATATGCACATTAGTTATCAAAATCAGTATTATTATAATGTTTCTGATATTCTACATCCATCAAAATCAGCATCTTTCTGTTCAAGTAATAATTATACTGGAGAAGGATGTAAATGAAGCTTTTGGAATATTTGGATTTCCATTTTATGTAATAATAGTAATTTTTCTTAAAGCATATTTTTTTAAGTATGCATAAACTGAACTTGAAAGCTGTTAAATAGGTAACGTAACATTGTCAATGAAAAAACAATGACAGCTATAAAATGATAATAAGAAATTAACACTAAAATTTTCTATGATATAGCTCAGTTTTCTTTTCATTACAAAACATGCATTTCCACAACATTAATTAGACATGCATACAATTAAAAAATTAAATTTTAGCAGGTCTTTTTTACTTTACATGTGTTCATTTTTTAGCCATACACAATATTGACCAACTGTAAAGATACAACATCTAGAGAGCTTATATGTTTAATATTTCTCAGTTATTTTACAACCAGCTTGAATGGAAAGGGAAGAGTTATTTCTGGATCTCTTTAAAATGTGGTAAATTAAATTTCATGATGTTTCTAAAAACTGATGAAACTTCGTTGAACCACCAATTGGTTAGAGATATACTACATCCATGGAATTAACCAATCACAGCATGCTTTGTAAGCACACATAGTGTTTCCAACTTCAGTGTTTCATTTGAAGGTTAATGTAACAATGGTGTTGCCCATCAGTGCATGAAAATATTGCTAGATAATTAATTATATTGAAATTAGTTGTCTGACTAGAGTCATGAGTTGTCCCAGACAACTGAGCAACTGGTAATGTCAGACCCTGATTTTTTGAAGGAGATGAATGATACCTAATTCTTCAAGATAATGTTTTTGTACCTGGGTAATATTTTTACTTCAACAGCATATAAAAGTGACCTTAGCAATTGATATGTACATGTAAAATAATGAGTATCAATTGTATGATAAATATTTGCTAATTTGAGTGAGGTCTCCTTTTTCTGTTTGGACTAAACTATACATTGGATTGTTCTTGCCAACTGTGAGAAATGAATAGACTGAATTGAGTCTAGTCCTGGCCCTGAGCATACCTTGGCTTATCTGGTTTCTAAATGGCATGGGATAGAGTTGGTTACATACCACTGTTTAAGTTTGTATGTGATCAGACCTGAGGTGGTTCTGGAACCCACTAACATCATTATTTTGACTCTGCTATGTTCTCTTTTTGCTTTATATTTTTTATGATTCCTGTTGAATATTTGGCTTCCATGTGACCATTCTTTTCTTGACCTTTCGTAATGATTCCTACTGAGCTGTGGGCTATCATATGGTCACTTTGTCCTTTTTTGATGATTTCTATTTAATTTTGGGCTACCAGTTGGCCACTTCTTTCCTGTCTGTGTTGATGATTCCCACTAAAATTTGTACTAAAAGTTTGCTGCTACTTATCTGATCTTATTAAAAGATGGTTACTGCCGAGCTTGCCTCAGAATAATGCTACAACAATAGAAAGTTTTTATAAGGCATTTTCACATCCTTCCAGGATTCACAACATTTTGTAATTCAGTATTTTTGCAACGTAACTCTGTTTGGAAATGACATCATTTCAGAAGTATTTTTAGTTAGTAGCTTGTGAAAATGGAAATTCAACTCTAGTAGGTGCCAACAGTGGTAAATATGATTCATGGTTATGAATGGTAAGCTTTAACAAAAGGAAATTTAAGTTAATAGAGCAGTAGATTCTTATTCATTGAAACATAGCTGAAGATGAGAGAATACCAACAGTGACGAAAAAAATAAACATGTTTACTTATGTCATTTATGGACAAAGTAATTTTACATTTGTTTGTCTTTAAAATGTATTCAAAATATGTAAAAATACAAATACACTCTGGATTGAACACTAATTTTTATACAGCAAAAAATAGGTAGAAAAAGGGTACATGTTTGAATAGTTGTGTTGGACTACATGCATATATATATATATAATTTTGTTTTTATGAAGACCAATTTAAAACACTTATTTCTGATGCAGTGTTTGTCAGCCCTCGATATGTTACATTTTGTACCAAACACCTCAACTGACCTTGGAGATGTTGTCTCTCAGATTTGTCCTTTAATGCTTGCTAATCTTCATGAAAAGAAGTGTCATGATGGCCTTGTAAAATCTATTCAGACCATTCAGAAGAAAAGCAAACCATCAACTGGAGCAGGTGAATAATTTTTTTTTTGCTGTTTTCTCTGAGGAGTTGGTATTAAGATATGACCTTTCAAGGGTAGGAGCAGAATTTAGTCTAGAAACACTTTTAGATTATTAAATAAAACAAACTTTGTTTTAGTATTAAGAGTGGAAAATAGGGATGTGATTAGAGTTATAATCCAGGTTATTGTGATGTTATGCTACACACATACATTTCTACTAAAGATCATGTTTCAACAGCTGTGGTGTTCCTAAGGCTTGTCGTTTTCTAAATGAACGATATGAATAGCATTTTTGATACAGTACATTACCTCCTCTCACATATATAGCTATTCTCATTCAATGCTGCCGTCTATATGTAGAAATTGTTTGCATGCCACAAGTCTGCACTCTCACTTACCCATGATTATCATGGATCCACTACGATTTCATCATGAGATATCCCACTAGTAATAGAAGTGCGACACAACTTCCTGATGCATGTGGCTCCCTCTATCCAATTCTTCCAAACTACCACTTCAAGACATGTTTTGGGCTCTATTCACATGATTTTTCCTTATTAATATGATACGAAGTGAAAGGATCATTTCTAAATTTTACTACTGTTTACATTTTTATAGTTTTCAAAATTTTATCATCTCATGATAAATGCTGAAGTTATTGTGATCACTTCAGTGATTATACCACTTGCTCTTACCACACACAAGCTTCAGGTTTGGGGAACTCCACTGAGGAATTTTCAGCCTTTATTCATCAGGAGATTGTTTGTTATCTAAGTCGACCTTCTTCTTCTGATAGTGATTGACTTCCTCTGTTACATGCTGAACCTGTTTGTAATGACGAGGATTTTGACAGACTTTTTCCCACTCCTATTATGCTGTGCCTTCCTGTGCCTCTCCTGTGGAATCTGCCAGGTCTAATTCAGCCTTTTTTAGATAAGGTTTCTTAGGTATATTCTGTTTTATCCATTTCCCCAATTTCCTATAATCTTATTCTTTCCTAATTACATAACTAACACTCCTTACACTCATTATTTTGTTTACTTCATTCTCCTGATGTAGGGTTTCATGCTGAGCAATTTGTTTCTCAGTTGTGAGCTGGTGCTAGCATGGCTCACCCTTCATAGGCCACAGATTAGTTTGTCTTGTCTAACCATCAGGCAGATTACCACTTTCTTGATTCTCAACAGTTAGAGTCACTACTGCCAGTTTGGGGTATGACCCTGACAGTTCTCTCTATTTATCCCAAGCCTAGTTTTTCTGCCTTTGTCTTGCCCTTATGACTCTCCTATGGTACTTGTGTACCATATACCTTTTTTAGACACTCTACCATTCTCCTGGGGGATTTTTGGGGGATACCTTCTCCCTCATTACCTCCACATTGGTGTGATTGTCTTCCTTGGCTATCTCTCTCTCTCCACACATACTTTCTTTGCTGTTGGAACCTTCTGGGGAGGGATGCTGTATTGTCCCAGGTTTGTTCACTATCATCTTACCTTCAGGACTTGCGGATGGCTCCATTTCTCCAACCCCCTCATTTTTGGGGATATTCCTGAAACTCTGTGAGGCAACGTTTGACCCTTTCATCTTTGGTTACTCGTTTGTCTCAACCTGAGCCCTTGCAAATCCCTGTTCTTTTTCCATGTCCAACACCCTCCTGTCCTTTACTTGTTCTTCCCACTAGGGGTTCCACCATTACTTGTTTTTATTGACGTAGGTTTCATCATCACCAGCGGTACCGGTGACTTTCCTGTGGGTTCTGGGCCGGTGGGGGCTCGTTTGACTGATTTTGCCCAAATATGGCAAGAATTCATTTCTAATCATTGGGTTCTTCAGATCTTTTCAGAAGGACTTGTCATCCAATTTCGTTCCTCAACCTCGTTGTCTCCCATACCCATATCCTTTATTTTACCTTGGAATTCTATTGCTAATCAATGTCTGTCTGAGGTGGTCCAGGCTCTTCTATCACAGAGAGCTGTCAAGCCTGTCAGCTATTCTTCCCAGACTGTTTGTGGCCCCAAGAAGACTGGGGACTGGCTTACTGTGATTGATCTGTCCTGCCTCAATCAATTTCTGGATCTTCCCCATTTTACAATGGAGACTTTTCTCACACTATGGTGGGCTTTTTCTTTGGGATTGTGGATGACCAAGGTAGATGTATTGAATGCCTATCTACACATTCTTATTTCTCCTCAGTGCAGATGCTATCTTTGGTTTGTCCATCATGGGGTTATGTACCAATTTTGCACCTTGCTCTTCAGGCTTATTTTGGCTCCGTATGTGTTTTGTGGTCAATGCTTTTGCTCAACTTACACATGCTTGGGTGTTGTGCTTACACCACTACATGGATGACTGGCTTCTGTTAGCTCATTCCGAAATAGTGTATTCCCATCAAATTCGTCTTCTTCTTTCAGAAGCTGCTCATGTTGGTTGTATTATTAAGTAGGAGAAGTCTTTCCTGTCCCCTACCCAATATTTTATCCAGTTGGAGGTCTTTTTCAATTCACTCCTCAGTTGTGTTCAATCTTCTGCTCTTCAACTCCATTCAGTGGAGATTTTGGTTCTCTGTTCCCTCGCTGCTCCTTCTCTTACTGCTCACAAGGCTCTATGCCTTCTACGGAAGGTTTTTTCCCCCTTGGGTCATGCATATATGTGGTCTCTTCAGTTAACTCTGCACAACCAATGAAATCTCCCTCAGGATCCCTTAGATTCTCCCAGTTCCCTTCCTCCTTTCCTCATAGACAATCTGCATTGGTGGTTGAACAAGGCCAACATGTTGTTGGGTGTATTGCTTCCTCCTCCCTTCCATTTTTCCTGGTGCCATCTTGTGTTTACCTCTTCTATTCTCTCCATGTTGTTATGTTCCCTCCAGATTTGTAGTCCTCCTCATCAAGTGGTCCTTTTGGATTGAAATGTCAGTGTGGATATTCTCTACCTTAATTTACCTCCATTTGAACCTTTGTCCTTCTGCTCTTTGTTTTACTTTTCCCTTAATATCTATTTCCTGTGGGTGTCATCAGTCTGATATTTCTGCCATTTAAGCTATTCTTCAAGCAGGCATGCAGACTACTATTCATACATTCATCTCCCACTATTTGCATCTGGTGGCTGTTTCTTTTTTGTTGGGATACTGTCGCCATCCTTCAAACTTTGGTAAGACTGTGACAAATTATCATTTTTATATTACTTTTTTCAGGGGCATGTCCCTTATTTTACTGTTAGGATCCCACTCTGTGGTGAGTGTTGCCTGTCTATGTATACTTAATGCATCACAAATCTTCATTGTATGCCCAGGTTGCTATCATAAAATATATTCCCATGGCATATAATGCACACTGTTGAGATGGGGTGTTCCACAAGATTGCTCGTAGGTTTTTCCCTTGTTATATATTTGATTCATAAATATACTCATTCTATACTGTAATAACCCATGGACTTACATAGGTAAGTGGGAGTGCAAGGCTCATGACATGTGAGAAACTATTTGCACATAGAGTGCAGCACTGAACGAGAATAGTTATATATGTGAGAGGAGGTAAGTACCTATCAGAAATAGATTTTCATAAAAGAAAAATTATAACTTTAATTAATAATTTATGAATTATAACCCCCTGCAAGCTTGAGAGCTTTGGTATTGAGTGAAAAGGCTCATCGACTATGGTGCAGAACTAGTAAGGTAAGGTTAGAATCTTATTATACATATACTCCTCTTGTTACTGGAACTGCATTTAAGTAGTGATGTGATGTAAGTTCTTACATTATTATTGTGATGTTATGTGAAACTCGTATAATATGTCATTCTAAGTAGTGATTAATCTTTTAAAAATTTAAAGGTTGATAGTAGTTCATGTTTTTAAGTTTTTTTATGTTACTGAAATTAATTGAAAAATGACAAATATCAAAGGATTATTTTATAAATTTAAACATTAATTTTTTAAAGTATGAATATCAAACATTTAGAAATATGATTTAAAATATTTAAACTTGTAATAACTCACAAGGTAATGGCAAAATAAAATTAGCTAGTTAACACATCTTTGAAGTTACCAAAACTTCCATTTAACATTATAATGTATCCAAAATAAACTTTTATAAATTGAAAAGGTTCTTGTAGTTATTTTAAGTACTAAAACTATTAATAAATGCAAATTTCCTACCATCACCCCCTCCCTGCTGCACACATACATACATACAGTATATACATACTAGTTTATCACATAAACTGTCACACACATCAACAGTTGACATAATTTTCTTTTAAAACAAATATCAAAGATAGTAAACAAGAAAAGACACCCTCAGGTATTTTGCATAACTTCTTAAGCAACTGGAAGTCGACTCTAATACTTTATTAGTTAGCATGATGTTCTTTATCATTAGTGTAAGTTGTGATATCTGCCTGGAATAGTATTATATCATAGCCTTCATGTGTAAATACAGGGAACAAAATATCCGGGTTTGCATCACAGTTTGCAAATCAAAACAATCTCCATTGCGAATCACTTTTCTCTTTGCTTAGCATAATGTGCGAATCATTCCTTTCTCTTGTATGTTGTCTTCAAGACTTCCCACAGCACGGTGAAAGTGCTGTAATGTTTCAGTTTTATATACCAACTAGACTAGACTACGTATGTACAGGACATACACTGAACATTTAGCATTGAGTCAGTAACAGACTCTCTGAAACCAGGCTCAGTCTGATGGACCAACCATGTGACCATTTTTATTTGTATATAGTTTTAATATTATAACTTTTAATACAGTAAGTGTGCCTTTACAAAATTTAGCAGACTTTTAGTAAACACGAAAAATCATTTTTTTAATGAAGTATTTTTACTAAAGATTTGTTCGTAAATATACTTTTTTTTTTTACCAGTCCAAATGCAAAGTTATTTTCCTGTTAAGATTAAAAATACTTTTCTTCATTTAAAAAATCTAAAATGTCATTTATGTAATCTCTAAAATCTCCTAAATACATTTTAAACGTTTTTTTAATGTAAAACTTGATATTTTA